ATATAGTATTGTTACATGATTTATATATTGCCAACCCAACCGTTGGATTATATTCCTAACACACCCATTTTTGTGAATTAAGGATAAATTTGTATGTGCACCCAAGCTTTTGTTTTTCCCCTAATCCTTCTGGATTTTGTTTCTATCTCTCCATTCTTTGGGACAACCCCTCATTTCCTCCTAAACATCTCCTGTGTTGATTTCCTGATTCAAAGCTATCCAATGAGAAGCCTTTTACTGTTCCTCTTAATCTCTGTTTATGTCAGCATCTCCAAGGATGATAATTCCTCTACATCTGATTTCTTCCAATTCTAGGTCTGCACAAGCAAAACCAAAACACCATATTAGTTTCCTTACTTGTCCTGGCAAACTCTTGCCACTTTACACCAACTTTAACCCCTCTACCTATTTTTCAATTGTGCTATATTATCCAATATTACCATTTATTTATGTATTGGTCTCTTTTACCTGCAAAAAGATATTTACCTTGGTTCTGGGCACTACCAAGAATCCCCAAAAGATTTACAACATACATATATGCATAGAAAACTAAATGAAGTAGCAAAAGTTAAAATAAAAAGAAGGAATAGTGTTTTAACAAATCTAGAACCTCCAGTCATAGCACAATGTTTAAATATCAGATAAAAAGTATTATTTTCACTGCCCTCTGCTTATTTTTACTGTTTACATGCTGCGTTTGCTATATTGACAACGTCCATCAGTTTAACACAGCTACACATGGAAGAAATTAACATTTTGTATGTGTATAAAATACCTGTCCAAATGAAAGACTGTACAGTGTAATATTTTTATTAGGATAGTGATTAGATCTGGACTTTTTATGGACCATAGCTGAGCACACACATTTCAAAAATAATTAAACTTGAATTTGCTTCAAGACTGATTGTTTAATGAAGGTTTGTGGAAGTTTTCTATGTCAGCGATAGTCTCTGGCAAGGTGCTTCCTTTGGTCTCAGGCAAAAGCAGCACTGTTCCAGCAGCTATTAACCCTATGACAGCTGCAAATAAAACAGAACAAAAAACATCAGAAACCAAATTATGACATATTGTCAAGATGGACACACAATCATTTTATTTTGCATGTTTTATTTCGGCTGCATCAAAATTATCTGTACAGGTAGTCCTCAACTTACAACAGTTCATTTAGTGACTGTTCAAAGTGCCAATGTGTCAGACTTTTCGTTATATACACAATAACACATGAAGTAATATATACAATACCAAGAGTGGTTCTTCCAACGTGGTAGAGACAAAAGATTGGTTTCAGTTCTCAGAGCTTAGCATAGCTAAGCCACGCCCAGGCTTCTTACTGTCTCAGCTCCCATTGGCTGACCTTGTTACCATGTCTCTGCCAGTCATAACTTCTCTGACACAATGGCACTGAAAAAGTGACTTGTGACCATTTTTCACAGTTACAGCCATTGCAGCAAGCCCATGGTCATGTGATTTACACTTGAATGTTTGACAACTGACTCACATTTATGACAGTTGTAGTATCCTGGAGTCATATGACCCCCTTTTGCAACCTTCTAACAAGCAAAGTCAATGGGGAAGCCAGATTCACTTAACAACTATGTTACTAATTGAATAACTGCAGTGATTCACTTAACAAACAAGAAAAGTCGTAAAATGGGACAAAACTCGCTTAACACATTTCTCACTTCGCAACATAAATTCGGGACTCAATTGTGGTCTTAAGTCGAGGATTACCTGTCTTAAAAATTTGGATGCTTAACTTTGTCATGCCATGGGTCCCTTTGAAAGTCTAGTCACCTAGATTGAACATCTGGTATTTCTTTTTTCATGTACAGCTCTAATTTGTGTTGAATGATCCTAAGCATTATTTCAGTAGCATGTGAAATTAAGGATATTGTATGATTGTTTGCACACACTATTAAGTCTGTTTTGGTAGTAGAATGTAGATTGATCTCTTCCAGTCTGTTGACCAATATGTTACTCTCCAGATTTGCTGGCATAGATTGGTTAGAACTTTTATTGATTTTGTGTTCTGTTACTTGCCATATTTCATATATCATTTCCTTTAGCTTTCTGAATTGGTAATGATCAGAATGCTGATCCCTAAGTTCATCTTCTAGGGATAGATATTTTTGTAAATAGGAAACATCTTTTAAGGCATGTGGGATATTGATATGTATACTGTACAGTGCTTCATATACTCCTTCCATCTTTGTTTGATTGCCTTTGAATTGCTTACATTACAATATGTCAGGAGTGTCAAACACAAGGCCAGTGGGGTGCTTAAATCTGGCCCGCAGGGCCGGCCTGGTGCATCTGGCAGCCAATATGGGGCATAGGGGGCCCATACACAGTCCCCCCCCCCAATGCCCCGTTTTCAGCCTAGACAGCCTCCTGTAGCACTCTGCTGGCCAAAATGGGGCATGCTTTTGCTGGCAAAGTGCTGCAGGAGGCCATTCAGGCTGAAAACAGGGCATGTGGGGTGGGGGGAGACAGGATGAACGCTTACGGCAGTACCCTGCCAGCCAAAACACACTCTGTTTTGGCCAGCAGAGTGCTGCATGAGGCCGTCCAAGTCAAAAATGGGATGTGTGGGGTCCGCACAATTCCACCCCATTCCCCATTTTGCCAGCATAGTGCTGCAGGAGGCATCCGTCCCATCTGCCCCCAGTCAGCCCATCAAGGAGAACTACAATGCTGATCTGGCCCTTGAAGAAATCCAGTTTGACATCCCTGCAATATGTCCTTTGGAGTAAATCATTCAATTCAAGGTTGGAACTATTTTTTTTCATGTCTGTTTCCATCCTTCTTCCATTCCATCCTGACTTGGTAATGATTAGAGTAGTGATCTAATATCACATTCTGGTTCTTGAGGTCCTTGTAAGTAAGAAATATCTTCTAAGTTACCATGGCTGTTGGCATCTGTACCTGGGATGTTAATTAACAGCTCTCTGATATAGGTTTATTAAGTTCCTTTCTGAGTCCCAAAGGTGCTTTTTTTCAAGAGGCAATGGGACTTTCTGATTTTTCTTTGAAGACATTTCACTTTTCATCCAAGAAGCTTCTTCAGTTTGGGAAACATCTTCAAAGAAAAACCAGAAAGTCTAATTGCCTCTTGAAAAAAAGCACCTTTGGGACAACCATGACCAGGATTGGGGTGAAATTCAGCAGGTTCTGACACAGGTTCTGGAGAACTGGTAGAGAATATTTTGAGTTGTTCAGAGAACCTGCAAATACCACTTCTGGCTGGCCCCAGAGTGGGGTGGAATGGGGATTTTGCAATATCCTTCCCCTGCCATGCCTACCAAGCCATGCCCACAGAACTGGTAGTAAAAAATTTGAATTTCACCACTAAGAATCTCATTAGATTTTCCTTTCTGAGATTTCTCTCTTACTTGGTTTTGGTTTCTCTTCTCTTCTTGGCAATTTTCATATCTTTTTTATTGAGTTTAGTTTCTTCTCTTTTCTTATTTTTGGCAGTCTCTTAATGACTTCTTTGAAGTTCATTCCACAATTCTTTTCATTTTCTACTAATGAATTCAGGACTTCAAAATGACTCCTGATGTTCTCCTTGAAAATGGTTGGTATATGTTCAAGATCATATCATGAAACTGGCTGACTTTCTTCTTCTTTATCTTAACTTGAAATTTGCACAGGAGCAGCACCTGGTCAAATCTTGATACCATAAATGAACTCCATTTCCTTTTAGTTAATTTGATTTATATATACTTCATCTGGTAGTGTCCACGAAGAAGACATTCTGATTATTTGAAGACCATGTTAGCTGTTTCTTTGGAGTGACAGAAATTGATAAAATGGTTTTCTGTTTCATTTTGGTTTTCTAAACCATGTAATCAAACTATATTTTCCTCTTTTGTGTTTCCAACTTTGGCATTCCAATATGAAGTCACAAACAGTGCCTGCAAATTTTACCAATTTGTTGTATGATACAGATCTACATAGTCCAGTTAAGTTCAGTTGGACTGAATCCTTGGATGAATACAAAAGTGCATGATTGAGCATTAATGAACTGTAGCCGCCATAGATAGAATATTACTTACAGAAGACTAAAAGAGGTAGTTCATGCCAGATCTCTGCCAATCTGTAGACTATAAATGGAGATATGATTCCACCAAAATCGCACATGGAAGAACATACCATCATGCCAAGGTTTCTGAAAGAAGGATGGACAGACAGAAAGATCAGATTCAATGCTATACATACAGACATACAGACATATTAATAAAATAAATGAATAAATGAGAATTTGTCTCATTAGAAAGCCAAGAACCAAACCTTAATATCATTTTCATCCCCCAAAATATCTCTGAACTCCAGATAAGCCTATTTGATTTTTTTGATTTTATTTTGATTTTATTTAGCATTTATAGGCCGCCCTTTTCCCTGAGGGGACTCAGGGCGGCTTACAATAGTAAGGGAAGGGGAGTGAAAGACAAAATACAAAAGAAAATGTGAAATAACTAAAAAGTACTAAAACACAACATTCACTCAGTATTCGGGAGGGGCAAGAAAATTTATCCCCAGGCCTGACGGGCTAGCCAGATCTTGAGGGCTGTACGGAAGGCCTGGACTGTGGTCAGGCTATGAGTTTGGTGGGTGGTTGCAACCCAGTCATTTGTCTGAAAAGACACTGAGCCTCTTGTAAAGGAATCAGAACAGAGTATCGATGGATTAAAGAGAAATGACTACAAGTTGAACAAATGCAGATTCTCTCCCACTGAATGTATATGTCCTGCAGTGGTGAGTTCTGGATCCCAGTGCAACCAGTATTTTAAAAAATTAAAAACTTTAACAATATTTTCCTTTTTTCCTTCTTTAGAGAAAAGTAAAGAGGTTCACATTTAAAGGAACTGAAAGTGGGAAAAAGGAAAACTAACACATTTGATTATTTCACATCTTAGTTGCTTAACTCTTAAAGGGCTGAAGTTCAATTCCTGTTTATAGTCCTGAAATAAAGCCTTTCACAGCTCCATGACAAGCCAGTTCTATGTGATGACTTCCATGTTGGAAACAGCTGTCACTGATTGAGTCTATCTAGTGCATAAAAATTAAAAACCCTTTTTGAGTTATTTTTTATAAGAAATTAATGCCGTTCTGGACAGAATGGAAAGAAATATTACTAAAAATGTGAGCTATCAGAGAAAGCAAAAGGGACAGACCACTCTAACTTGAGGTTTACGCTGATTTGTTTTTTTAATAGGAACATCCAGGACAACTACAGACCTCATGTCCTAGGCTCATTTACAAATATGGATACAAAGCAAGGAGGAACAGATTCATGAAGAAGACAGTCAGCTGATGTGCTTCAGGTTCTCCAAGCCATCCCATGGAGTGACTGTTGTATTCCCTTCTACGGCATTCCAGTTCAAAACTGCCACTATTTCTAGCTGCCACTTTATTTATTTCCCTCTTGGTGAGACCAAGTTTCCTCCCTTAGAGGTGCTGAAGGCCATCATCTCATCCCCTCTATTGAGCAAAGATTCCCTCAGTTGGCTTTTAAGCATGGAAAAAGAGATATCATTGGCCTTGTCCTGCCTCATCTCCAAAGCTTCTCCACTTTGGCTTGCCATCTAATTCTATTTCTGATTTAATTCAGAGGAATAGTGCCTCAAAATTGGTGATAGTTGAGTAATCAAAGATACAGAGTTTCTACATTAAGCCATTCTTTGAAGCAGCACCTACCTAAGAAATGTTGGGTACAATTCAGCATTGACAAAGCAGACCATTTCGAAAGCCATAGTAATTCCTAACCTGCCAAAGGAACCTGTAATAATCTTTAACCAATGCATATCTGAAAAGAAAGCATATGTACATAGTTTACCCAAAATAATTTATTAGACGAAGATGATTAATACCAGTGATATAATAGGTAGTCCTCATTTTGCAACCACAACAGGAATTAGGACAACTGGGAAGTGGTCGCTCAGTGAAAAATCACACGGCCACAATTGTGCTCAAAATTGTTTTACTTTCTTTTGTTTTACTGCATCAGAAGGATACAACTCTAAATAGCCAGATGAAGCTAAATGGTGGGGTAGGTTCCTGGAACTCAATTCACAAGGAAGCTGGATAAATTTTATAATCCTTTTACCCAATTCTCCCACCCTTTAAAATGCTCACCTGGCACTGGAATAATTAGCAAGAAGAGAATTAATGTTTGTATGTACATTCATTGGATAGGAAGGATTACAAGAGAGTATGCAAGCAAGCAATGAGGTATATAAAGGAATGGGGCCTACAGTTGAAAACAGAGAGCTTAGGAAGCAAACAAAAGACTTTAGCATGAAAGTGATTAAAGGCTTATCAGTGTCAGGCAGCAGTGCAAGCCATAGAAGAATTCTAACCAATTAAGGTCACAGGTGAGCTTGTTAATTTGCCTGAGCATTTTGTGGGGATTCACTGCACTGTAGAAAAAAGCAGTTCAGGAAGAGATAGCTTGTTTAGGCAATCTCTCTACTCTGGAGGTGAGGTGGAGAAAATCATGTCATATATGTGGGCATTGGTTGCAAAGTCACTAAGTAAGGACTACCTGTGCAATTTCCCAGAGAACTAGTGGTAAAGATAAGTCCCCCTAAGCAGGGATGTCGAACCTGATTTCATTGAAGACTGCATCAGGGTTGTGTTTGACCTGCAGGTGGGCAAAGAGGGGGTGTGATCAGGGAAGGCATATTGGGGGTGGCCAGGGTGGGGGTGACCACCTTGATGTCATTTGTGTTGGGGGCACCTTTTGTGGCCAAGTGCTAAGGCAGGACTTCCCTTAGACCCTCCCTTACTCTCATTATAATCTCCTTCCTTCCTTCCTTCCTTCCTTCCTTCCTTCCTTCCTTCCTTCCTTTCTTCCTTCCTTCTCTTCTTTTTACTTCCTTGTTCATTCTCCTTTCTTCTTCCTTCCACTAGTTTAGTGCAATTAGTGAGAAAGGGATGTTCTCAACTTTTGGTTCTGTAAACAAGGGAAACAAAAGTCTGTTGTCTGTTCATAACTAGAAATGTCTTGAGTTTTGAAGAGATGATGCTCCTTAGAATCCTCCACTGTTGGGAGAATTACAGCAAATTGGATGGAAAGGGATTTAGGCAGGAATTAGAAAAGATACTCTTAGGACATATTAATAACACATAAGCAATAAATGTAGTAGGGAAGGAATAAATGGCCTGTTTCTGACCATGTCCTTTATACATGTCACTATCCATCTCTGCATTCAACTACTTAGAAAATCCATTTAAATATCCCATAGTTAATTATTTAATGATATGTGTAGTATGTCTGTTTTAAATAAATTTCAAAAATCTATTTGATATTCTTTTGCATTGAAAGTAAGTGTGAAATCCACCAGATAGCTTCATTCTGACCACTATATTAGCTTTGGTGAAGTGGTTCAGTCCATTTATATCAGAGTTCAGAAAACCTGAATCCCTCAAACATCTTTATTCATCATCATGATCATCACCATGATTATCATCACCATGATT